GAAATTTTTGAGAGATTTCCTGTAATACAAGGCTTACTGTTGTTTTCTCCTGGGCAAAACTGTCTCCCTTTTACTGATAAAGAAGCCTTTCTCTTAAAGCCCTCTCAAGAGTTCTGATCCCACTCCCTTCCCAGTAAGAAAGTGTCTGACAACCTTGTCTGTTTCAAACAGTTTTTGTGTCTACACAGATGAACTTGACATATAAACTTAAAGGATTTTGTAAGTGGCTCAAAGTCAAAAGCTGTAACCTTTCCCCTCAATCATATAACTTGTCTGATACTGCACCTATCCATTTTTCTTTTTCTTTTTAAAATTATTTTTAATAAACAAAAAATAAACTAGATTGCAAAAGAAAGACAGAAAACTCTACTCTTTGAGCCACAGATCAATGTAGGTTTTCTAATGGCTATATAAATATAAACAATATGCCATAAGTTAGGAAAAAGAAAATTAAATGAATACTTTTATCCTTACTTGAAAGACAACTCTGGATTTCTCCAGGAGGTAAGTTCTCATGTTGGCTCCTATAATTTGATTTCTCTCATCAAAACTGATTTCTGTGTATTTCCCAAACCGACTGCTGTTGTCATTGCGGGTGGTCTTGGCATTTCCAACAGCCTACAAAACATAGGGCTTGAAGTAACAACAAAATTATTGGGGCAGTTCCTAGTATAGTTCAATCCAGTGCACTGGGGGAGGGCCTGATTTGCAGATGGAGGTTTGGGCCAGGGAGGGAAGGAAGTGGCCCAAGGCTTACAGGGAAAAGGACACATCCTGAGCCTGCTGCCCCAGGTCCCCCTCATCCTCCCTGGGAGACCCAAGGAGGATCAGAATGAGCACAGGTACTCGTGTCCATCTGTGTGATGCCTTAAAAGTCATTTCATCTTGCCAAGTCTTCATTTCTTTACCTGTAACATGGGAATAATATACATCTTACTGCTATGGACTGAATATCTGCACATGCCTAAGATTCACATGTTGAAATTCTAATATTTCTACATATGAATGTTGGCTGGGGGTTAGAAGGTAAGGGGCTTTGGGAGGTAATTAGGTCATAAGGGTGGAGTCTTCATGGATAGAATTTAGCAGCGTGTAATAGGGCGCCCAGAGAGCTCTCTTGCTCTCTTTTCCCGTCATCTTCAGGTACCATAAGAAGACACAGCAGTCTGCACCCCAAAGAGAGGCCACACCAGAATCCAACTGTCCTGTCACCTTGATCTTGGGCTTCCAGCCTCCAGAATGTCGAGAAATACATTTCTGTTGCCTATAAGCCATCTGGCCTGTGGTACTTTATTACAGCAGCCTGACTGACTAAAACACTTACAGAGTTGGGAGAATTAAATGAAATAATAAAAAGTGCCCTAACTCATTCACGTCCCAAATATTACAGATGCTCCGTTCACAGATCACATCCTTCACCCACCTTCTACTCCTATGCTTACCTCCTATCGTTTTCCTACTCAAACTTTCCACTCAACCAAAAACTGCTCCCTCTCTCCCCACTGCTCTCTGGGCACAATGTCTGCTTTTCACTTCTGTCTGGAATTTCAGCTCTCCCCTACCTGTCCTCTCCCGGTCCCTGAGCACCCTCCATCTAGAAGGACACGCTTATACACACATCCCATTCATACGTCTGCTATGTGCTACTCGGTAAGCAAAGGGGAACCAATTAGACATGGTCCTATCTTCATGGAGCTTCCAGTCTGGCAGGGGACACAAAAGAATCACACAAAATTATACACCAGGGCACAATGTTGGGGTATATAACACACCCCCTGGGTGAAGGGTTCAACTACAACTTGAACTTTACCTTGGAAGCAAAAACAATGTAGCCTAGAAGTTAATTAATGACTCCATACTGAACCTCAGAGTCAAAGCATTCTATAATAGACATACTCTTATTTGACAATGTGAATGTTACTTTCTTTGCATTATTATTATTATTATTATTATTTTGATGCAGCAATCGTCTGATTCCTTTTCTGAATGTATTTATCTTCGTTCTTTATGAGGTTTTTTATTTCTGGTCCTTATCTTAAACATTGTTATTGTTGTTAAATTTTAAGCCTTTTTAATTTTGTGAAGCAAAAAATGGAAACCTAACAAACACATGTATATGTAAAATAAAATAAAAAACAATGTAACCTAAACTTTTGTCCCCACATATCAATCTGAAATAAATAAATAAATAAATAAATACAATTTTTTAAAAAGAGGGGAAAAGAGTATCCCTTGGCCACTTCATTTGACTGTGCCTCTTCACAACTTCCGATCGCTACCTCGCATTGTAAGTTATGCTTCTGTTTGGTGAGCCTCTGCCTCTGGACAGCGAGTGTCACAATGTTTCTCAGCTGTGTCCCTCCTGTCTTATGCGTCTATGTAATTTGAAAATAATCTTAGGTTAGAGGAGTCTTACGCTTCAGAACTGGGTCTTATTCTTTTCCACCACTTCCCACATTATCTGGCGGAGTGGCCTAAACAAAGAAGGTGATCTGAAGAATATTCACTGAGGAATTTGATTCAAGAAAACAAGACAAAGTCTAGGAATCGAATGTTCTTATTTTCTTTGCTTCCAAGCACATCTAAATCAATCCTCTTCCCATTCTGGGAGGCAGCTGGAGTCGGCCTGTGGGGCCCCTCCTGCTCCTTTCAATGCCTCTTCTTCCTGGAGGCGTGTCTCCTTACCCCTGGGCACCTTCTCGGCCAGCCTTTCCACCCTCTGCCCTGTCAGTGACGTGCTGATGAAGGACAGAGAGACTTGATGTGTGGCCTTTGCCAATGTGTAAGGTGTAAATCCTCCTATCACGACCGATTTCAAACTATCAAAGGTTTAACAACAAGCTTACAAACTTCCTCAGAATTTAACAAGCAGCTTGTGAAAAGTGATGCCAGTTGGCTACAAGACACCAGTGATCTCAGTACACCAATGATATCTGTGGTTGGAGACATTTCCCCTGGGATGTAAATGTAAACAGGGCCCTCTTGAAATCTGATGGCAGAATTTCCAGCTTGGAAGATAGCAGAGGAAAGACCCTTGAAAGTAGCAATTCCTGCCCCCCACCTCCTTCAGATTCCTCTGGACAGCAGACTTCCAGAGTCTTTTCTGCCTTGCCTTTCTTTGGTCTTTAAAGCTTGGGAACTTGAATTAGCAAGGACAGCACACACACACACACACCAACCCACACCTCCATCACACATGCTGGCTCTTCCCAGGCCCCTGCTACCCACCCACCAGCGGCACACACCTCGGTTATGGGATTAGACGCCAGGACCTTGTCCTCCACGTGGGCGGTGCTGCTCGACCTGCTAACGGTGGCAAAGTACCTCATGGCATAGCGAGCTGACACTGTCTTTCCAGCACCCGACTCCCCGCTTACAATTATGGACTGATTTCTGTTGTTTCTAAAGCAAATAAATGAAAGGAATTTTATGTGTTAATTTCTTCTCATTAAAAAGGCAACATGTGTTCATTAAGAAAAATGGGGACAAGATGGAAGAAGAGAAACTTTGTTTCATTAAAGTAACCGTTCTAGCATTTCAGTGAATTTTCTTCCAGACTCTTTTATTCTATGGGGTCATTCAGAACACACAAGTCTGTGTCCTGCAATGTTTCCTGTGTTGCAGGTTCGGGACCAAATCCAGGTTCAGTGATCTGCTAGGAAGGCTCACAGGATTCAGCAGATGGTCACACCGCTAAGATTTGTTACAACAAAAGGACACCAAGCAAAATCAGCAGAGGGAAGAGGGGCGTGGGGCCAAGTCCAGAGGAAGCCAGAGGCAAACTTCCCACAGTTTTTCTCCCTGGCAGATCAACATGGGACACACTTAATTCCTCTAGCAAAGGATTTGATGGTGTGTGTCACACCCTGTCTACCAAAGAAGCCCATTACACACTCAGTACTCACCTTCTGCCTAGCACACAGAAATTGCAGATTCCGAGAAGGAAAGCAGAGTTCAGCATAAACCACGTTGTTTACACAAACAGCTAGAAGTTAGGTATGAAGAGCCACTTTGTCCCTGGGATGGTGGGAAGCGTCCTGGAATGAGAGGCTAGCCACCAGCCCACCTGCAAGCAGGCCTCTAAAGATAGTAGCCTTAGGCCTCACGTCAACTCCTTTCTGCATGTCCCACTTAGATATAAAAACATTTCAAAGGATTATTTTGAGAGCAATTATTCAAAAGATGCTTGGGAGCATATGTGCTCTGTAAGCCAACGGGCTGTGTTACATAATTCAGAGACTTTTTAAAAAATGCATTAAACTTTTCATGTCTTAAGACTGCGGCGGCAGAACCTTATAATGCTGCTGTGTGTACTTAGCACTGCCTACATGCCTGGAATAGTTTACACAGATTCTCGTTCAGGCATCACAAAATCTGATGACATAGGTATCTAATTAACAGATGAGTCCAATTCAGGGAGTCAGGTGATGCAGTCAGAGCTTCTCATGTGAGTACTGGTGTAGACTTTGGACACAGATCCCTGGTCTGATCCTTTCACTTCAAAGAGAGGAAAGAGACTCTGAGAAGGTGAAAGACATACCAGCATCCCCGCATGGAAGAGGACCAGGTTAGTAAAGCCAGGCTCTCCTGATTCCCAGTCTAGCATGGAGCAAAGCCAACCCAGACCTGCCTCATGCTCTTTACCACTGTTACAGCTACACGGATTGACCTCCAGGGAGAAACCTGCTCTTCAGGGCTAAAGCCAGCACAGCCCTCCAGTTCCAAGGACCTTGTACTGCTGACACCTAGACTCTGATCACCAAGATTCCCAGGAGACCTGTGGGAATCCAGGGAGAATCCCAAAGCCATGGGTGTCTTAAGATTGGAAGGAATCTCAGTGCAGTAGAAACTGCTAACTCTCCACCAGGATTGTCCTCCCCTTCCTTCTCAGGCTACATGCCAACTGTTAGTGGGCACGCTGCTGCCCATATGAAAGGATGGGTTTCCCAACCTCTCTCACAGCCAGGCGTGGCCATATGAGCAGGTCCTGGCCAAAGCTCTGGAAGCAGAAGTACTTTGTGGAGCTTCTGGGATGGGTCCTTGTCACCAAGAGTACAGAGGAGATGACTGAGCCCTAGCTTGGCCCCGAGGACAAGGGTCCCACCCTGGAGACATGTTGCTGGATCCCTGACAACTTGCTCAACCTAGCCCCAGACTGCCCATCAGGTTTCTCCGCAGGAAAGGACCACACACTTCCACCCCGTTAACCCACCACTCTCCCCCAGATTATAAATAAGCAACAGAAGCAGGAAAGGGTGTTCTCTGAGCATCCAGATCACAGAGCTACTGAGCTCCAGTGCTGTGCCCAGGGCTGTGCAGTGAAGAGGCAGCAGGTCTGAGTCATTTGTGAAATGTGGGCAATGAAGGGGCTCAATAGACTTCCCAGGAGTGTTAGTTACAGGCCTCACGGGAGACCACTGCATGTGAAAGTTCTTTTGCAAACTGCAGAGGGGCTGTGAAGATAAGATGGTGTTTTTATTCTTCATACCATACAGATGAGGACATTAAAGCCAAAAGAGGACAGTTACGAGAAAATAAATTACATTCAGAAGTAAAAAATCTGAGTACAAGCCCCAGCTCTGCCTTTTGCTTGCTGTCTGACCTTGGGGAGGTTACTCTCTGAAGCTCGGTTCACTGCCCAGGCGTCTACACGGCTGACTATTCAAGGGCGCGCGAGATGACCCATGGGAGCGTGTGCATGATGCCTGATCACAGGAGGCTGTTCACTAGCAAAACAAGAACTCCCCAAAGGCCATACAAAAATCAAATGGCAAAATTAGGATGCAGCTTGAAATCTCCTGTAGCTAAAGCCTGTGCTTGTCTACCATCAGATTCTGCCTCCTTAAATAGGTAAAACAAAAACAAAACGCTTAGACATCTCACACTGAGGAACAAATCAATTTTCCTCCAACCAAACGTGCTGCAAGAGAAACATCTGCTATTCCCAGACTGACTTGTAAGTACCAAGCAGAAAACTTGTTCTAGCCAGGTCAGGTACCCATCTGCGGTCCCTCTGGCCTGACCTTTTGATGAGCCCAACCTAGACATCTTCCTACACCGTGAGAGGCCAGCAGACGCAGGGAGCATTGGCAGAGCCCGAGGAAGCCCTGCTACCTGGCCATCTGCTTGTATGCCTCTTCCGCCACCGCAAATATGTGCGGGTCCATGTCGCCCATGTTCTGCCCGCTGTAGGCGTGGATGATGGCGTCTCCATATATCGGCAGCTGCTTGTAAGGATTCATGGCCACCAAAATGATTCCTGAGGAAAGATGCTAGATGCGGTTATGAGATTCTTACTGTCACCCACCTCTCCAGGTTCTTATGAGAAACCTATCTCTGCCACTTCCTGAACCTTCTGCGTGATCTGGGGCAGGTTACCAAATCCTCTGAATCTCAATTCCCCTCCTGATCACCTACAACTCTGAGCTATTCTGATGGTTGGATGAGATGACAGGAGGGAATGTCCTCAAGCTGACAGAGTTCTGTGATTCACAAATTAAATGATAATATCATTGCCCCAAATAAGTAATAACGGTATCAAATCCAATGAGAAACTCAAAACACAAGTTTGATCACACCTTTTTTTCTTGGCAGTCTAGCTTTAGTCTTTGTTGAAGATTCTCCCCACCTAGACATTTCTTTTTATAACGCTAGATGCTCAGTATAATCATAACAGAACACAATTGCAATGCCCTGGACAGCAAGCACTAGGTGTCAGCGCCACTCCCGACTTCCTAGAACGGCTGTCCTTACCACTGTAGGTGTAAATGAGTTTGGATTCTGCAAAGCGGATTTTGAGGTTGTGGAGCACTGCGGGCTCGTGGAGATAGCTGAGGGCTGTGAGGTCATTCTCGCCAACCAGGATGTCGGGATTCCGGAGTGGAGGCAGAGATTCTGGATCGACCAAATAATCCAGCTCCTGTGGATGAAGGTGAAATCACAGATCTGGAAATAAAATATTTTTGGTGTTCCTGCTGAGCCTCTGTCCTTTGTCGTAACCACCCCACTTTGGAGTGATTGCTGACACTGAAAAACAGACTTATACATTGCATGACAAAATTATCTTTGAAGCTGACTCTTCGAGTAATAAAAAAGAGGAGCCAGAGGGCAAGGACACTGGCTGTGTGCCCTGGGGCAAGTCACTCACCTTCTCTGGGCCTTATGTCTCTCCTCAGGGAAGAGGAGCTAGACTAGATGAGGGGTCCTCAGAGTTTCAGAGCCCTCAGTGAGGGGTGACAGGGAAACCACATGGGCAGGATCCAGGGCTCCATTCCTCTGTAGTTTAAATGTTGGGATGTGGTGGGTTTTTGGTGAAAAACAAGATGCTGTTACTAAAGTGACATGATGGCCTTACAGCTGGAAGGCCGCCAGGTATCAGAGGTGCCATGCTTGGCGGTGAGGAGGAGCTGGGGGCCCATGTGGGTGGTGGTGTATCTGCAAGGCCCCGGCTCAGCAGGTGACTTCTATCTGCAGCCCCCCACCTGCCAGAGGGCTCACGGCTCCCCTAAGGCCTGCCTGCTCCTGTCATTCTCGGCCCTGGGCTGAGTAACTCCTAGGATCCTCCTCTTCTGCCAATTGAACCTGATTTCCTAAAGTAGCCGCCTGAGCAGAACGAAGGTGAAGTTCACAGCACTCATGGTGCTGGGCTCTATCTCCTTCACTTTCATTTCACAAGTCAGGAGAGGGAAGCCCAGAGAGGTAAAGTGACTTGAGCGAGGCCACCCAGCGAGCTCGTTTCTCTTCCACCTTCCCAGGTGTCCGGTATTCAGTCAGTACCACTGGTCTCCTTTTGAGCTCTGGCCCTGGGCCAGCTCCACAAGGTGGCCCAGCTGCCCCTTAGCAAGTGCCACTGTGCAGACCTCTTGCCAAGCACTCAGCACTGATTACTTCATTTCAACCTGAAAACTGCCTTCCAAGGAGGACCTGACTCCCTCAATTAACAGTTAATGAAGCTGGGCACTATGCCTCACGCCTGAAATCCCAACACACTGGGAGGCCGAGGTGGGTGGATTGCTTGAGCCCAGGAATTTGAGGTTGCTGTGAGCTATGATGATGCCGTGGCACTCTACTTGGGGCACAGAGTGAGACTCTGTCTCCAAAAAAGAAAGGCACTGGCCAGGTGTGGTGGCTCACGCCTGTAATCCTAACACCCTGGGAAGCCAAGGCATGTGGATTGCTTGAGCTCAGGAGTTTGAGACCAACCTGAGTAAGAGTGAGACCCTGTCTCCAATAAAAATAGGAAAAAACTAGCCGGGCATTGTGGCATGTACCTGAGGCAAGAGGACAACTTGAACCCAGGAGTTTGAGGTTGTTGTGAGCTATGATGCCACGGCACTCTGCCCAGGGTGCAGAGTGAGACTCTGTCTCAAAATAATAATAATAATAATAATAAAAGAGTTAATGAGAGAAGTTCAGAAAGATTGAGTTTGTTGTCCAAGATCACACAGGTCCTTTGGTTGGCAGGTGCGGAGGTCTGTTCTACAACAGGTGAGCGGCGCAGGGCAGTCAAAAGAAAGGGGTGCAGACCCTCACGGCGGCACCCCCTCTCCTGCCGTCAGCGCGATTATGTGTGGGCCTGTCCCCAACCAGAATATTCTCAACCTACACACTTTTATTTTGAGAATAGAGTCAAGAAAAATGCTTCTCATACTTTAATGTTTACTTTCCCTGAGATTTTCTCTTTTCTGTTTTAAATTTAAAACCTCTACTTCCAGCTCAACCTATGTGAGTGTTGTGGGTGAGAGAAACAGAGGGAGAGAAGGAAAGAACAGATAAGTCTTTGGAGAAGGGCAGAAACTGTGTGAAGAACATCAGGCTGACGGAGGCAGACGTGACATTTCCCTACACCAAGCAGGCTTTGCTGCACCTCGTATAGACAAAGGGTGAAGGTAAACAGCAGTCTGGCTGCCCGCTACCCCATCTGCCTCTGCCCTCTTCCCCGGCAGCAGGTTCAAGGTCGGGAATGCAGCCACCTGAAACCCTGCTGCCATTATTGCAGCAGAAAACTGCCCCTGCAGCTGCTGCCTCGAGAATCCTCTCCCCAGACAAAGCCATCTGATCCCTGATCCCAGCCCACACTGTGCATAGGAGTAACTGATGGGAAAGGCGGGGCTCGAGGGGAGCAGCGGCCTCCCGGGCCATGTGCTCCCAGGCCTTTGCATGCCATCTGGATCACCTCCTCCGATCTTTTTTATTTATTTATTTATTTTTTTGAGACAGAGCCTCAAGCTATCCCCCTGGCTAGAGTGCCATGGCATTACGCTCACAGCAACCTCCAACTCCTGGGCTCAAGCGAGTCTCCTGCCTCCGCCTCCCAAGTAGCTGGGACCACAGGCGCCTGCCACAACGCCCGGCTATTTTTTTGGTTGCAGCCATCATTGTTGTTTGGCAGGCCCGGGCTGGGGATTCGAACCCGCCACCTTAGGTGTATGTGGCTGGCACCTTAGCTGCTTGAGCCACAGGTGCCGAGCCTACCTTCTCCGATCTTCAGCAACCCTGTAACAGTGTGTGGCTGTTAACCCCCTTTTACCTGTGAGGATACTGAGGGGTCCACTGTCACGGACTTAGTCAGACAGTCCGATTGTAGAGACGTGCCCTTAGCTGCTGTGTTTGTCTCCCTTCCCAGGAGCTCAGGAAATATCTCCCAAATCTGGGACAGTCTGATTGGGAATATCGTGTCCTAGCTCTACAGAGGTCATTTATGTGCTATGCAAATTCCAGCATTTAATATTTATATGTTAATCCCCAGACCACCTCTGGAATCCAGTTACAACACAAATTCACTGTCCAGTGCTATATCCAGATGTTCAATTTTCAAAAACATAAGGTCCCCCTAACTAGAGGTCCAGTGGGCTGTTGTTACAGCTGGGAAAGAAGGACTGGGACAGACATTTAAAGATGCCACATCGTCAGGAGCGGCATGACCAGAAGGCACACTCGGCCTTTGAGGGAACGGCCCGGCCAGACACGCCACCCCCGGGAACAACTGCTGAAATTCGCCTGTGGCCCCCCTCCTTAGCACACCTGCCCTCACAGAGGCTCCTCAGAATGTCACCCGATGCTAGGGGACCCTGTCTTCCCACGCTCGCCCTGGTGCTCCCCCCTCCATGTTCTCTATCCCCCTAGACTGCCTGCCCCTCCAGCTCCCCCACTCCTCCCTCTCCCTGCTTATTTTCTCTCCTGACCTTTTTCTTCCTCTTCTCATCTTGAGGTTTCTTTCTACCAGTTTATGTGTTGGGCTCAAATGACTTCTCTCCAATTCCCCCGTGACCCATGAAGCCAAAATGGCTAATCAGCGTGAAGGAGTGCTGTGGGGTGGTGCAGGGCCAGACCTGGTGGCTGTTGTCCTGTGCTGCCTCCTGGACCCTCACTACAGAGGAAGGCCACCTGAGGCCCTCCCCTGGGCTGCTTCCACAGGGACTGTGTGTTCCCAACTCCCCCTACACACCCCAGTCACCGTTTTATAGGTCATTGTGGCTGCGAATCCCAAGGCCCCTCACCGTTCCATCCTCCAGCAGGAGCCGCAGGACTTTGTCACCGACGCTGTAGTCCTTTGCTATTTCGGCAGACTTCCACACTTCTTCAGCATCCGGAATCCAAACCCTGTTGTACTGCCCAACAAAAGAAGACAAGATTACTTTCAGGGTTTTAAAAACAAAAGCAGAGATCATTACGTGGACAGACCCAGGAAGGCTTCTTTCTGTGTGGCCTACGTTATCCAAGTGTTACTTATGAGGGGATCTTTAGTGCATTGCAACACCCCAGCCTCTCTGCTTCATTTAATAGGCAACGGAATTCCACAGCCTCCTAGGTACACCTTGAAGCTGAAAGCCTGGGGGTGGGAAAGAAATCCATGAGTCCCTTAATGGAAACATCTCAGTGCTGTCTATAGGACATGGAGCAGAGGGATTTTGGTCACCACTGATTAACAATGGGGCTCTAGGCCAGACACTTCACTTCTGGTGACTCGTTTTCCTCATCCATAAAATGCGCACAATGCTACCAGTTTCACAGTTTTGCTGGGAGGTTAAATTAGACTACAGATTTGAAGGCACTTTGTAAAATGCTACAGAAGTACTGCCACAGCAGCCTTGTTATGGTCTTATCACGCTGGGCCGCAGCCAAGCATGGCGGGAAATGCAGAAGAGCAGAGGGAGCCGCTCTGATCAGGTCCCAAAAGGCAATTAACTGGCTCACCTGGCTCAGCACTGACGTGCAAGTCTGCACGGAGACCTAGGTGCTAGGAATTGAACTGTGCCCCTCCCTGAATTCACACGTTGAAGCTCTAACACCAAACTGATTGCATTTGGAGAGAGTCTTTAGGACAGCGATTCTCAACCTGTGGGTCGCAACCCCTTTGTAACAATGAAAATACATCCTGCATATCAGATATTTACATCACAATCATAACAGTAGCAAAATTACAGTTATGAAGTAGCAATGAAAATAATTTTATGATTGGGGATCACCACAACATGAGGAACTGTATTACTATATTAAAGGTGGCCTTAGGAGGCATTAGGAAGGTTAAGAACCACTGCTTTAGGAGGTCATTGAGGTTAAATGAGGTCATAAGGGTGAGGCCCTGACCCAATGGGAATATGGGATTAGTGTCCTTATAAGAAGAGGTCCATAGAGTGCTCTCATGTGCCCCCACCCCAGTAGGAGACCCTGAGTGCTAGGACAGCCAGGCTGACAGGAACAAGACTTAGGAAGACTTGCTTAGGGACATCAAATAGCACCTAGGAAAGCTCCTTGACCCAAAGGCCCAATAGCTAGGACCCCAGATCTGGATGGACCCTGAGAGGCCATCCTACATCCAACCCTCATTTCCCAGAGAGAACTGGCCCCAGGGCCTCCAAGTTCCCCGGGGACAGAGGTGGGACAGGTATCCCATGAGGCCTGCACCTACAGTGTCCTGCAGGGGCATCTCCGTCCCACCTCCATACACTCACAGGCCAAAGGAACAGTGTTCCTGGGCACTGACCCTTGCTGTGACAGATGGACTTGTTGAATCAGGCACTTGTGAAGTGTGCAAACTCCTGTTGTCACAGGGAGCTTCTGTGCCTGTGGAGGGGATGGTGCACATTTCTTGCCGTCCTTTCAAACACAGTCCCGAAGCACTGAATCTGCACCAGACACCAGCTTAAGTTCCAGGGAACAGATGCAATTAAGATGCTGCTCCTCGTGAGTCTCTGCTTCTTCCCAGCTGAGGGCACAAATATCACTGCCAGATAATGACCAGGACATGGCCAGCTGAGCCTCTGGCCAGTGGGCTGCTGACACCCTCCTACTCTGAAGCCATATTCCTTTGGGTTAAGAGATCCTACCTTTAGTAGTTTTCAGTTACAATACAAATTCCGGGCAATAAAATTATGGCATTTTAATTTTCTTCATTATAGTTCGATGTATTTCTATAATTTGCATATATTACTTTTTATAAAAGAACAATGAATATTAATCTTTAAAAACAAATGTCAAAATGTCCACAAAAAAGAACTGTACATGAACGTTCTTAGTAACTTTATGCATAATGGCCCCAAACTGTAAATACATTAAATGTCCACTCACATTAGAAGGAATTAAAAAAATAAAACTGTGAGTATATCCACACGACGAAATGCTTGCTACTCATCAATAAAAAGGAATAAACTACTGATATTACCATGAACACGATGGTAAGCCTGAGTTATTGGAGTTGCTTTAATCTTTGACAGCTAGCAAAAAGCAGGAGCTAGCTGAAATGTGATCTGGGGCGGTACATTTTGATGGAGAAAGAGAGAGAGAGCGCGGAAGAATGACCTGGCAGGCAGTGACAAGGCCTCCCCCACACACAGGTGGACAGAAGCTGTACAAAGAAACACAGGCCCACGCACAGCCAACCACACATCCTTGTCGCTGTGGGCTGGCACTGCCCTCATCGGGTCTGCTGTTGGAAATACCAGTAAGTACTGCTAAACCTCAGGAAGCTCAAATCATTGAAATGAAAATACCCCAATTTATCAAGAATCAGCTGTTACAGAATTTCAGAACTGAAAGGGTCCTTGTAGATTTTCTATTCCTAGTTGTTTGTCAAATGTATCTAAAACATTGCAGAAAGCTTACTTCCAAGGAAGCAGTGGCCATCTGCCTTGTGAAACAGGTCGGGGAGGGGGTTTCTGAGGGGAGCCCAGGTCCCCAAGGCCCTTAACCTGCTGCAGGCTGGGGCCTTGAGAAGGAATGGGAACATCTCTAGGCCAATCTATTCTTCTGTTTTACTGATCCCCAGACTAGAGCACAGAGAGGGCAACAGCTCACCAAACACCACACAGCGAGCGTCTCAGAGGACGGGGTTCCAGCCTGGGACTCCCTGTTTGAACGTGGTCATTAAATGAGTCCGGCCCTGAAAGGAATCCTGAACTCTCAACTGCAACCGACCCTGTACTTGAGTCCACATGCTCTGCCAGCCAGTTTAGGATTAGCTTTAGCTCAAAGTAGCATTAAATTGGGACAGAAGGAATCACTCTGCTGCTCTGGAGTGAAGACCAACCACTCCTTGGCTGCCACACCCGGGCTCCCGCTGTCCCTGCTGGCATATGTGCCGGGCACTGAGCCTGCAGCTGAGCCCAGCCTGGTAAGTAAACAGCAGCAGGGTTTGCTCAGTAGCCTGCGCGTTCCACCCATGCCTTCTCCCCCTCCCCTCACATTCCTCTACCACAAGGCAACGCTTCAAACCACAGGAAGAGCTTACTTCACAGCATTTACACAAATAGACTCCGTCTGTGCAAACAACGTGACTAGCTCTCTGAGTGTGGCACCTCCCCAAGCCCTGCAGCTGAGCTGAGGGGAGAGAGGGGCCCCCTCCCATGCTGTCCTGGTGTCCTCTCCCGTGCAGGCCCAAGCTCCCGCCTGTCTGCCCCTCCCCATGGCCCCCAAAGCCACAAATCAGCCCCCACCTGGCCCTGCCAGTCCTAACTAGTGCAGCAGCCTCCGAGGGCTTCGCCAGCCAGCTGAGCACAGGTTTCTTTGGACACACACCTCCTGCCCTCTCCTGTGTCCTCCTCTTCGAATCAGAGAATAGGGACCACGGAACCTCCCTGGGGCTTGGGCACGCCCAAGCCACCCATGTCACCTGCACAGGTGAGAGGAGAAGGGCATCTTTCTGTGTTGATGGCCATTAGCCATAGAAATGCCTTGAAGGCTTGCATAGAGGATGGGACGAGGTGGGATGACCCTGGTCTCCTTCCTAGAGCCACTTCCTGGCCTAGAAGGGAGCCTCCACCCTCCAGGTCAGCGGAGACAGATGGTCATACACCGCTCCCTTGCATCCTCCTCTTCACTCGGTCCTCACAGGCTGGTTCCCATACCCCCATTCCCGTGTTTCCCAAGGTCCTTCCCAGCCTCCTCTCATGGGCTCTTTCTGGAGAGTTCCATCTATTTCTGAAGCTTCCACAACTGCCTGGAGCCTGTGTATCTTTGAGACCTTGAGCCCAGATCCCACGATGGAACTCTAGATCACGTTTCCAGTTGCCTCCCAGACATCAGCTCCTAAATGTCCTTGAATGCTCATCAATTCCAAAGTTGAATGATGACAACCCGCTCCCCACCTCCAGCTCTCTTGAGGGTCTCATGTCAGAAGTCTGGGACAGTGCTGGGCTCCCCCTCCACGTCTCATGCCAATTTGGTCACCAGGAGCTGGAAGGCTACCTGGTAAACAGCTCTCACTGTCTCCCCCCTCACTGCCCTCACTGGCCACAAATTACCCCTGCTTGGCCCACCAATTTCCCCCTGACTAGTACAGCAGCCTCTGGGGACTTCCCCACCCAAGCAGAGCACAGGTGTCTTTGCACTCACACACTCCCTTACTCAGGAAGGATGGGAATTCCCATGGGGGGACCTGGCAAGAAGACTTTGACAGGCTTTGACAGTCACCCCACTGTGGATTCAGGTAAGTGGCCAGGCCCCAGGAGCCACCACTATAGCTGATTTTCCTACTCAGGATCACCTCCTTTTCAATCCACCCTCTGCCTGCTGCCACCCAAGCCACTAGCAATTTCTGGACCATGCCAAGCTCTTCCTTGGCTCTCCACGGTGCACTTCTCTCCCTGCACCCTGGCTCCACAGTCCTCTCCGCATCAGTGAATAGACAGCTCTGATAGTCAAGCCTCACTCAAGACTCCCCTCATCTGTGGCATTTTCCTGCCACCTCCCCCCAGGCAGGGTCGGATGCTTCTGTGTTGGGCTGTCTGCTCTGCTCAGGTATCGGGGTCACCTCCCATCTCCCCATGGGCATGTGAGCTTGGGAGCCTTGTTTCTGTGCTAAGAACCCACCACAGTGGTTCCCTATAGATTGTACTCCATAAACAGCTGTTGAACAAAGATTCAAATCCCCAGTGATTCCACTGCAGCAATTAAGATTCAAGTTGGTATTTTAGTCTTTTGATCCTTTTTGCCCTTTTGAACTACCCATAAACAAATGGATAGATCTAATTTTCCAGAGTTGTTAATATACAGAAGTCTAAAAGCTGTTTAGAACGGCCAAATGGATGCTCATGACATCTCACCTTATTTCAGACAGAGCCCTGGACCAGTCAAAATACTTCTCTTTACCTTGTTCATCTGACTTTCAGCAGGACTCCTCTGAAGATATCTGTGAGTTCCTCTTGCACAAGCGAAAGAAACAGATGGTTGAATGATTATAATTAGTAGATCTGTGGCTCAATAACGAGCAAGAGTCACTTTAAAAACAGAAAGGTCTCCAGAGGTGTGCACAGTGCTCTACTGCGACCACTCCATCCATCACTTTCACCAATATAGTTGATGAAAAAAAGCACATGTATTAAATAAGCAGATGGAATGATTAATTAGATACACATGGCCAAGATTCAAAAGGTTTTGACAAGCTACAGAAACTTGGGGCACTAAATAACAAGATGGCGAATGTAACAGAGATAAATGCAAAGTCCAGCAGTTAGGTACCGAAAATCAATTGCATTATAATAGCAAGAAAATAAAAAACAACAAATCTTTATTAAGCATTACATGTCAGGTATTGTGCTAAGGGCTTTACAGTGACCGTTTAATTCCTGCAGTGGATTAAGCCAGTAGGCACTATTAATCCATTTTATAGGAATGGAAACTCAAACAGGGTAACTTGCCCAGTGTCACCTGGCTAGTAGGGGGCAGAACCAGGACTTACCTCAAGCCACCAGGCACCCAGTGCCTTCCATGGGGCAAAGCACATGTACTACCTTTGTTTAAAACACACAAAGCACCAACACAGTGCTGCATTGAGACACTCACAAGAAAGGCAGCCCCATAAAGCATGGGACTCGTGGCTGAGCACACCATAGCCTGAGATGGCATTGGGGTATGGAAGTCTGCCCAGAGGATGGTGGCTTGGATGGTGAAGGGTCTGGAATGATGCACAGAGAAGGTTGGTGGTCCTGTTGCTCTCCTCAACCCTCAGTCCTGTCCACCCCTTCACAGAAGTTTGGTCCCCTGGGCTTCCTTTGCTCTGAGGATCTCCATGCCTGGGGCCTTTCTTACACCTTCAGACTGCAAACCTTTGTGTTTCCTCCTGTCAGCTGTGACCACGTCAGGTCTTCCCCTTCTCCCCCACAGTTCTACTGAAAGAGACAGCCCTGAGTACCCGCAAGCAGCCAAATTTGATGACCCACTCTTAGCCTCCACCCTCCTTGACTTCTCTGCAGCTCCTAGAACAATTGGCTGCATGGTCCGTAGTCAGTGATACATACGGTCTTCTTCCTCGGTTTACACAACTTTATACGTTTATGACCACACAGCATATGCAACTTCTGTGCTTCCATTTGTCACGTAAGCATTTTTTCACGTTGTTGTGAACTTTCCATAAGTAGCATTTTAAATACACTTTTATTGTGTGAGTCTTCTATAGTTTACTTAACTCTTCCCCTCTTGTTGGATGTTGAGGTTGGCTCCATTTTAGCTCTTATAAGGAATAATATAACATACGAGCAAGTGTCAGGGAAGGTGGTTAGGAATTGAATGGACTTCCCATAAGTCCACTATGGGGGGAAAATGTCAGATCCCTTGAAGAAAAGAAAGATAGAAAAGGTGATTGCACCAAGCGGCAGGTGGAGGGAGATATTAAGAACACAGGCTTTTAATCCTGGCTCCATCACTTTTATATTACCCTAGGCAACTTACTGGACTTGAGCCACTTGTAAAATAGGAGAACATCTAACATATGATGAAATAAGAGAAGGCACATAAAATTATGAGGATGGCATCTGGCACCTGAGAAATACTCAATGACTTTCAGACAAAAATACACATGATTGATACCATCACAGTCATGTCCCTAGCCTTTTCTGTAGCAGAAACATTCATTCATGCACGCAGGCACTCCTCAAACATTCATGGAGCCCTCACTGCTCCCTACTCTCCAGAAGCTCTTGGTCAAAGGGAGAGATATGGATATAATGAGCTGTTATAATGCAGTGTGGAGGGGCCGAGGACTTCTCAGGACAGACCTGGCCAAACTGAATTTGGAAGGTGCAGTGCTGCTGAGTAAAGCAGACAGGGTCCTCAGATGGAGGACCACGGAGCATGCAGGCAAGGGCCTGGGGGAACTGTGAGAAGTTTGGCCCAACAAGAACCAAGGTAGGAACTGGAGGTAGGAGTGGGAGGTGACACAGAGTCAGAACCTCACAGCTGGTCAGGAAGCTTGAAAGAGACCCACCGGAGCCTCCAGAGAAGCTGGAGTGGAGAATGGCCAGACCGGTTTTTCTGAGAGGGATTGTAAGCAGTGGGACAGCTGCTTGGAACACTTCTAAGGCATGTTGCCAAATCGCTTTCGAAAAGAGATGGATCATTTTGCACCTGAACTAGCAGCGCCTGTCACTCTCACTGCACCTGCTCCCAGAGTTTCCTCTTCCTCTTCCTGCCAGCTCTCCCGTCTTCCCCCTCTGTGCTGGCACCATCTCAAGTGCTCACCTTCTCCTGTCCCAGTGTCCTGTCCGTGGCTGCCTCCTCTCCCCACCTTACCCCTCTCTTGGTGAGGCCCTCACTGCAGGGGGATCCTCTACAGCCACCTCTGAGACCTCCCATCCTCAGTGCACCTTCCCCCAGAATCCTCTTCACCACTCAATCCCAGCAGGAACCAAACTTGCCTATGACTTTCCTGAGAAATATTTCCTCCTCCTGATGGCTCTAATTCTTTCAAAGGCACCCCTCCCCCACTGTTAGTCATACAGACTCTGACCTCAGGTGTTGTCCTTGGTGCACCCCTCCCTCACACTCGAGTCCTGTCTCTGGTTCCCACCTGTCTCCACTTGACACTGCAGCTCTGATTCTTTCCCTGACAGTCAGGTGACCCGAGAGTTCAGCTACCCGACTGGTCCCAGCCTCTCTCCTCCACAGCTGGCCTACCCAGCTTCCTAAAACAAAAACCTTGATTCTGCCAGCCCCAACCAGAACCTTCCCCAGAGAACAAACCCTTGACCTAACTCCTTTTCAGTTCCTTGTCAGGTCTATCTCCCATCTGGCTCCTTCATGCCTTCCAGGGAATTACCAGACATTTCTCAATAATCAAAAAAGTCCTGGAGGGAAGCAAGATGATCACTTTAAAAAAATCTTTCTAACCTCCCCCAAGCACGCAGGATTACGTATGGAAGGCATCATCTGCTTTATGGAGGATGGCATGCCTGTCCTCCAGGGCCACTGTGGGAAGGGAGGTCGGACAGGGCCTGGCAGGTAACAGCCAGGAAAATGGTGGAGCAGCCCCAGAGATTGTGGGGTGAATGCAGGAAGTGTCACAGGGAGCCCGAAAGGAACAGCCCACTCATAACCCTGAGCAGGGGCAGGGTTTGCCTCTGGCTACAGAAATGGGTTGTTTTGAAACATGGTGCGGCTAAGATTGTACAGGGAAGAGCACACCTGGAGATAAAAGGCGGCTAAGTGTCCCAGTCACAAAGTCGGACCTAGGCGAGTGCTGTGAGTTGGCATCCCAGCACAATCAGCAGCTTATGAAAAGGATTTGCTTCGTAAAATTTGGATTGGGTCAAAAGGCTCTACTCCAAGATCCAGAAGGCCACGTGTGGCCCCAAAGCCACAGCTCCTTCACTCTGTTTGTCCCAGTTTGAACTCTTTAACAAACGAGCACTCTGAAACCCAATCAGGCAGCTCCACAGAGGGGGAGTGTCCCACCTCTGGACTTGACAAAGTCAGGGCTAACTGACCACTAGAAGGGCTGTGAAAGCCTTGGGGAGCACAGGTGTCTACCTGGACAAAAGGTTGGTAGGGCCGGGCATCAAGGCTCTTTGAGTCTCTGGGATTCTTAGATTCTCAGTCCATCCAAGCTTGTCTCTGTTAAACTCTTCTGTATCCGTTCTTCCCACATTGTGCCTGGTACTTCTGAGACATTTAATAAATACTGAGGTTTCAGGAACTTGATAACGGGAGTGCCTACATTTAATAAATACTGAGGTTTCAGGAACTTGATAACAGGAGTGCCTACACCTGTCTGTTCAGGAAGGCAATGGTGTCACCTAAAATAGGTTGATCATCAACACTTTTCTCTGTTCCCCGAAGTTATCTTCTAAGAATAGTTTTGTTCAAGACTTTTCTTTTACTTCCAAGAAGTTGAAGACGGAAGAAGCGCTGCTACATATATGATGACTCACATTCTCAGTGGTAAAATATTCTAGACCACTACTGGTGTGTGGCCCAGGCAGCTTCAGCTTCAGGCATCAGATGAACTTAAACGCATGTTCTAAAAAGCATCCTGCATATTGTGGTTATAAACTTCTATGCCGAGTTGTTGAAGGAGCTCCAGGGAGGGTCAGAAAGCCTCGCCCACGTCTGAGGTTGCCCTGTGGGCAACTCTAATTCCATTGGTGGCGAGGGAAGAAGGGGCCGAGATGCTCCAGCCGCAGAAGACTGGGACCGCGCGCGTCCCGGACGCTAGGAAATCGCGGCCCGCACGGTAGGAGCAGCAGGAGGAGTCTCCCCAGCCCCAGGGGACTCAGGAGGGTGTGCGGGGTCGGAGGACGCCTTTCTCGTGGCCAGGGACCGGATCACTCCAGAGCCCTCTTTAGTCCCCGCGGCCCCTCCCCATGCCTGGTGTACAGGTGTGGCCCGGGCGCCAGGTATGAGCACTGCCAGCGCGGGCCGGCTTCCCTCCCGCGCGCCCTCCCCGGGTCGGGCGGACCCTCCTACCTGCGTATACAGTTCGGCCACCGCCATGGACTAGAGAAGCCCAGGCGGCCCGCCGGCCGCGAGTGTCCAATGCTTGGGGCCCGGCCTGTGGCTCTGAGGCCCGGGCTCAGGTCGTTGTTTGCGCGGGCGCCGCCTAAGTCACCGCCGGGCCATCTTGCCCGAAGTTTTCCAGCTATCTACTGTTCACTTTCCCGAGGTGGCGGCGCGGGGAGGAGAGAAGGGGCGGGGTCCGGCGCTCGGAGCCCGCGGCGAGCGCGCTGCCATTGGCCGCAGCGGGGGCTGCAGGCGAGAGCGCTGGGCGGGCGGCGGCTGCACCTGGCGGAGCCGCTGGCCGGGGAGGCGGGAGCCCGGCTCCGCTCTCCTAGGCAGGTAACAGGTGTATCGGGAGGCGTTCCCGGCCCAAGTTTTAGCTACCTTAAACTAAAGGTAGCCTGTTTACTGGAAAGAACAGAGGACATAGTCATTTACATGGAAAGCCCTAGAGAATCAACACACTATTAGAGTTTTTTTTTATTTTTTTTTGAGACGGAGCCTCAAGCTGTCCCCCTGGGTAGATGCTGTGGCATCACAGCTCACAGCAACCTCCAACTCCTGGGCTCAAGTGAGTCTCCTGCCTCAGCCTCCCAAGTAGCTGGGACCACAGGCGCCTGCCACAACGTCCGGCTATTTTTTGGTTGCAGCCGTCATTGTTGTTTGGCGGGCCCGGCCGGGGATTCGAACCCGCCACCTTAGGTGTATGTGGCTGGAGCCTTAGCCGCTTGAGCCACAGGCGCCGAGCCCACTATTAGAATTTTTAAGAGAGCTTGGCAAAATGATCATATTCAAAATCAAATATAAAAATGAGTGCCTTTTATGTGAACATTTCCTATGCAATAGAAACTAAAATAATATACAATATCAATGAAAATACAAGGTATCCAGAGAGTACAATAGCCTGGTTTATGGAAGATGGCATGCCTGTCCTCCAGGGCCACTGTGGGAAGGGAGGTCAGACAGGGCCTAGATTATATGGTAGTCTTAAGGACAAGATAGAGAAAGAAAGAAAAGTTTATTTAATAGATGGGTGCATTATATAGAAAAGCAATAAAAGCAGACCTCTGGCAAAGAAAGCATCCAAAAATGACTTTCAAAGGGATTCATGATTAAAACAAGTAAAACCAGAAAATGTTTTTAAATGAGTGATAACATCGTTAAAATGTTGGGTTATAGTTTATATAAAAAATATTGTAAATCAGTTAAAGAGAAGATAGGAAATCCCCCACCCCCTTTTTTTTCCTGCAGTTTTCGGCCAGGGCCGGATTTGAACCCACCACCTCCAGTATATGGGGCCAGCCAGCGTCCTACTCCTTTGAGCCACAGGTGCCACCCAGGAAATCCCATTTTTAAACTTGACAAAAGAAATTAATAAGCAATTCACAGATGGGGGCACCCAAATGGCTGGTTAGCATATTAAAGAGATGTCAACTATCGTGATAATCAGAGAAATGCAAATGGAAACAACACTGACATATGACTTAATGCAGATTGGCAAAAACATTTAGATTGGACAATATCAGATGCTGTCTAGGTTGTACGAAAATAAAATTGCTTTTGCTCACACAGCTGGTGGGAATTATACTGATATGGCCTTTCTAAAGAGCAAGTTGAGAATTAGGAAGAAAAATTTTCACCTAGTTGCCCAGAATTTAAGAGATATTTAAGTAGACATTCATCACACTGTAGTTATAAATCAAGGAGTTGGAAACATCTAAGTCTCCATCAATAACGTAATAAATAAATAAGATATACATACAATAGAAAACTCTATAGATGCTAATAGGAATTGACATGATCTATTTATATCAACTGAGAGATATAAAAAGCAATGTTGAATAGATGTCTATCACAAACCTTTCCATATATTTAAAAACTCACAAACTGCAATACTAGATATTGTTCACAGATGCCAGTGTATGTGAATAGAGGTGTGGATGATAAATTACAAAGTCATGAGTTAAATATGCGAGAGTGGATGCTCATGGAGGAAAGAGAAATGGACTCTGAGATAAATAAAGAGGTGACCAAAAATATAAGGAAGGGCCTGACATGAACCAATAATGATAAATGACACAAACCAAGAATTACGGTAAATTCGATTTTGCACACCAGTTGTCCAATTAATTACATGAAGAAAAAGAAAAACCAAAAGTAGGCAGTGACCGTTGCCTGATTGCTCAGAGTTAAGAAGGGAATATAGCTGATGTTTTATTTAAATAAAATTTTTATTGAAGAATAACATTGTCTGTGTAGATAGAGAGGTATACAAATAAGCAGTGTACAGATCAATGTATTCTTATTCATGGGACACATCGACACCCAAGTAACCACCACCTAGATCACAGGACATTTCTGACAACCCAAAACTTTCCCTGTCCCTTCAAATCATTGCCTCTCAAAGATAACCATGTTCTTTTATCATTATAGATCAGCATCACCTGTTTTAGATGTTTTTAATAAATGAAATCACATGTGTAACTTTTACATTTTGCTTTTGACATGATTTATCCATGTTGTTTCGTGTAGCTAAGAGTCTGATCTTTCGCTGCTGTATGGTATTCCATTGTATAAATATTCTAAAATTTCTTTATTCATTCTCCTACTGATAAATAAACTTGGGTTGCTTCAGTGTGTAGCTATTATGAATAGTACTGCTTATAAACACTTTGACGCTTTTGATGCATAAATATATGTATTTCTGTTGGGTAAACAAAAGGAGCAGAATTGCTAAGTCATAAGTACATAATGCTCAGCTTCAGTAGATATCACTAAAGAGTTTTGCAAAGTTGTTGTTATCCACTTATACTTCTACCAACAGTGTATGAAGGTTCCAGTTGCTCCAGACCCTTGCTTGATATCTTCACCAACACTTGATATTGTCAGTTTTGTAAAATGTGAGCCTTTCTGGTGAGTGTGCTGTGATAGCTCATTGTGCTTCCAACATGCATTTCTATGATGATTATTTATTGATACCTTGGTATTCTCTCTGTAAAATGTCTGCTGAAGTATTTAGTCCACTTGAACTACCATTTAAAGAGATTTTAGGCTCGGCGCCTGTAACTCAGTGGGCAGGGCACTGGCCACAGACACCGAGGCTGGTGGGTTTGAGCCCACCCCCAGCCAGCTAAACAAGAACAATGGCAACAACAACAAAAAAATAGCCGGGCATTGTGGCAGGCACCTGTGGTCCCAGGTACCTGGGAGGCTGAGGCAAGATAATCGCTTGAACCCAAGAGTTTGAAGTTGCTGTGAACTGTGATGTCACAGTACTCTACCGAGGGTGACAAAGTGAGACTCTGTCTCAAAGAAAAAAAGAGATTTTAGACAAACTCATCTGTTTTCAGCTGCATGCCCCTGAGTCCAATTCCTGAGTTTTTCAAAGTTCTGTAGCATGAACCAGATTGCTTCTGGGCTTCTGCCTCACCTGGATGAGATTTCAGTTTTGACTCATCAAAATAAATGACATGTCTGTGTCTGTTTTTCATCTTCCAAAATGTTGCTGTCATTCTCTTTCTTTGTGAGTTTAGTATTATTCATTGGAGTTTCAGGAGGAAGGGTAAGGAAATACAGGCATTAAATCTGCCAACTTTCTTTCTAGATTTTGACCACAAATCCTCTATCAATCAGATACACAATTTGCAGATATTTTCTCCCAGTGCATAGATTGTCTTTTCCTTTTCTCCATGGTGTCTTATGCAGGACAAAAGTCTTAAATCTTGATGAAGTCCAATTTGTCATTTTTTTTCTTTTATGGATCATGCTTTAGATATATGTAAGAAAACTTTGCCTACCTTAAGATCACAAAGATTCTCTTCTAAAAGTTTTCTAGTTTTAGTACTTAAATTTAGGACTGTGATTCATTTGGGATTAATTTTTGTGTATTGTATTAAGGTAAGGGTCTTAATTAAACTTATCCACAGATGGTTATTCAGTTGTTCCAGTAATATTTATTGAAAAGACTATCCTTTCCCGGAATCCTTATTTAATAAATGGTGCCTGGAGAACCGGTTATCCACATGTAGAAGTCTGAAAGTGGGCCCGCACTTCTCACCATTGACAAAAATTGATTCTATTTGGCTAAAAGATTTAAATTTAAGACACAAAACAATAAAAATTCCAGAAGAGAGTGTGGGGAAAACACTTGAAGATATTGGCCTGGGGGAAAACATCATGAAGAAGACTCCCCTAGCAATTGCAGCAACACCAAAAATAAATAACTGGGATTTGATCAAGCTAAAAAGCTTTTGCACAGTTAAGGGTACCACAAACAAAGCAAACAGACAGCCTTTAGAATGGGAAAAGATTTTTGCATAGGGTATGACAAAGGCCTCATAACTAGAATATACAGATAACTCAAATTATAAACAATAAGAAAAGTGCAAACAACCCCAAGTGGGCAAGAGAGTTGAACAGAAACTTCTCTGAGGATGACAGATGAATAGCCAGATAACACATGAAAAAATGCTCATTGTCTTTAATCATCAGAGAAAAGCAAATCAAAACCATTCTAAGATATCACCTAACTCCAGCAAGATTAGCCCACATCACGAAGTCCCAAAACACCAGATGCTGGCATGGATGTGGAGAGAAGGGAACACTTCTACACTGCTGGTGGAATTGCAGAACTAATACAGCCTTTTGGAGAGAAATATGGAGAATCCTCAAAGATCTAAAAGTAGACCTTCCATTTGACCCTGCAAGGCCATTACTAGGTATCTACCCAGAAGA